CCCTGCTCCAGCCCTCCCTCTGCCTGGCATTAAGACTTGGCTTTGTCTGGGGGCAGGACAGCTGGGAGCCCGGTGGCCCTGGAAGGGAATCTAAGGAGTCTCAGACCCCGGGCATGTTGGTGGGATGGTGCCCAGGAGAGGCATGTGCTGGCCATGCCTGCTGTGGGTGTGTGCCTGTGCTGGTGGGGGCTGGGGGTGGGCCCATGCTGGGGAGTGTCCCAGGTGCTTTCTAGTTGTAAGACTTCAGAGCTTCACAGGGAGGGGCCTGGAGAAGGCTCAGGTACCTTGAGTCCCTGGAACACCTGCCTCCTTCAGTTCTTCTCTTCAAGAACTCCTTTCCAGAGACCAGTGTCTTTGAATGCCAGAGTGGGGAGGGGTTCCCACATCCTGCTGAAAGTGAGGCAAACCCACAGACCAGCCAAGCCACCAGGCAGTGGTTCCTGTGGGTGGGGGTGGCTTCACACAGCTGTGGGGGTGTGGGAGTGACATCTCAGCACCTTCACTAGCCTCTGTCTCTGGCTGGAGTGTCTCTCAGCAGGCGAGGCTGCCAGTTTCTCCCTTAGTCTGTGCTGCTTTCTACCACCACCGCCACGTGCATCATGCTGTGTTCTGGGTTTTGATGTCTGCTGTGAGTGTTCTGGTGACCGTGTGGGCAGCCTGCCCTTCTCTAGGCCTTGGTTTCCCCATCTGTCAAAGTGCAGTCCATCCAGGAGGTGGTCCCTCTAGGAACCCATGAACCTCCCAGTCCCTGGGCATATGGAGACATACAGAAAAGCCCTGAGATACAACACAAGTGGGGAGAGGATAAAGCAGCAGGTAAAACAACAGCTAAACACGGTTGGCAGACCGGGTGTGGGTGTGGAGCTGGAGCGACAAGGCGGAGCTGGCTGGGATGGGGGATAGATTTGGATGGAGGGAGGGAGGAAGGCAGTGGGAGGAGCTGCTGGACAAAGGGTGCGGTGGCAGGAGTGCTGTCAGGCTTGGGGTGGCTGAGATGCCCCATCTCCTGCTGGAAGTCAGCCTGAGGAGAGGTCTAGATGCCTGGGAGGGTGGAGAAAGCTGTCCCCACTCCCCAAAGCAGGGGCTTCTTCCCCCACCCCATCCCTGCCCTTCCCTGCCCAGCCACAGGGGGCGCCCTTTCCTGTGAGGAAGGCTCTATCCAGGAGCCCAGAGACCTTGCTTTCCCGGTTCCCATACGCCCCCTTCAGGGGTCTTCGCCCAGCGATGGGGAACTCTCAGGGCTGGTGAGGCTGAGGGACTGAGGGTGGCCTGTGAGGGGACTGGGTGGATCTGAGGGATCCCACTTCTTATTTTTAGCCCCAGGCTACTTCTCTGCCCCCTAGTCGCTTCCTTAGCCCAAGGGAGGAAATGGGGGCCTGTCCCTGGGGCCTACCAAGCTGCTCCCAGCAACCAGGCCCAAACAGCCCTGCGGCTGGCTCTGGCTTCCATATCTGGCATTAGAGCAGAGCTGAGGAGGGTGACTCAGTGGGCGGGTCCAGGCCTGGCCTGGTGCCCACCCAGCCCCTTTGCTGCTCTGGGCTCTTTACTATCCCCAAAACAACCCCCTGCGCCCTGGCCTGCGCAGCCCTGGAGCCAGGCTTCCGACTCCAGCTGGGACAACTAACAGGCCCCAGCCTCAGCTCCCATTTCCACCTTACCTCCCTCTGTGTACCCTCCCCTCCCCCACCCCACACCTTCCCTCACTTCTGAAATCAGATTTGCCAGCTGTGGGAAGAGTCAGAAACAGGATGCCCAGCCCTTCTTGCCTTACGAGGCCACTGGGATGGAGCCACTCCTGTGCTTGAGGAGCCTGGTGGATGTGAGGGCTGGAGGCCTGCCACTGGCAGGGCGCAGGGCCTTGGGCAGGACAGGGCAAAGTCAGGGTCTCCCCTGTGAGCACTAGAGGATTTCCCGACCCCTGCCCAGGCATTGTCTGCCTGAGGATGAGTCACCTGAGACGCCCCTGGTTCCCACCCTTCCCTGCTCTTCTTGCCTGCTCCGCCCGCTCCTCCCTGCCAACCCATGTGTGCAGCAGTCAGTGTGCCCAGCCACCCCTCCACCCGCCAACCCCCATGGCACTAGGACTGGGGCTGGGGCAGCAGCACCACCCTGGCCAGTGCCTGCTAGGCACCCCTGCTGGGTCTGAAGATCCTGCCTAGGGAGGAGGTACCATTTGGAGGAGGTAGGGTGGCTAGAGGTGTGGGGCTCTGAGCTACCCCCAGCCATCTCTTGAGGCATGCGTGCAGCTCCCTGACCACAGGGCTGCTGAGGTCTGAGTCACGAGTCCATGGGTGATAGCGGCTTCTTCCCGCCGATGGGAGCTCCCTCTGCATGACTGAGAAAACCGCAAAAGCCCTTCTTCACTTCCCTCTCTTAGCTGGAGGTTTCCCTCATCTTCAGGGTATATCTTAGTCCTTTAATGGCATCTCTTTCAAGTGCTAATCAAAGCCTCCCCAAAAGGAAAGGAATGTAGTCCCCCAATTTCCTCCACACTCAGCAGGTGCTAAGGCTGTGTGGAACTGCCACCTCGCTGAGGAACATGGGGCACAGCTCTGTGCCTCAGTTTCCTCAGCCACTTAGCAGAGCACCTATCTCATGGGGTGGCTGTGAAGCTGAGTTCACACTGAATGTTTAAAACAGTGCCTGGCCCCTAATGCACTGTGTAAGTGCCGTCTTTAATGCACTGTGTAAGTGCCGGCTTACTGTTATTTTATTACCACTGCCACCTTTGGGAGCAGTGGGAAGGGAGGACGTTAGACTGAAGGACAAACTCCTGTAGTTGTCAGACTGCTGGCTCCCAGAGCTCTGGGGCCACGCACCTCTGTTGTCCTCGGTCCCCATCTACCTGGCACTGGATTTTGCAGGAGAATGCTGCAGGGTCTGGGGAGGCCTGCGAGGCAGGAGTAGGGCTGAGGCACGGAGGGATGACTTCCCACTGCACTGACCCCTTCCTGCCTCTCCCAGCTCAGGCAGCAGGCTCAGGGAAGCCCTCCTCCTCCAGCGCGACTCCAGACCTTTGGCTGGGAGGGCAGTGAGGTGTGGAGCAGTCCTCCTAGACAGCCTGAACTGACTGGGACCCTGTCCCTCTACTGCTGGCAGTGCTCAACACCGTGCCATCCACCTTCCTCCTCTGCGCCTCAGTTCCCTCCTCTGAAAAGGAGGGGTTGAGCTGAACCCACTCTAAGCTCCTCGGCTCCATATTTGAGAATGTCCCAGTAGGGCCCGCTGCAGCTCTTCTGCTGCAGGCAAGAGAGGCCTCTTCTGGGAAGTCCCCGCCAGGCTTGGAGTTGGCCCAAGGAGCTCGGAGTCTGTGTCTGTTGTCGCTTCACTTTACCAGTGGTTTTTCTTTTTCCCTCCTCCCCCTGCAGCTGCCTCAGCTTCGGAAAAGTTCTGAAGTCATGGAAAGTTAGGGCTGTGCTTCCAGCCAGGGGCTGGGCCGGATGGCAGCCAAAACCTGAGCTGGGTTTTGACTTTATTTTTAGCTTTTCTGACTGAGACGGAGGAGGGAAGACATCCTCCAGTTCTGGAAGGGCCTCTTTTCACAGGAGATAGACTCTGTTGCATTAAATAGCTTGTTCTGAGGTGTGGCCTGGACGGAGTAAGTGGCTGGGCAAACTCCCTCCTGGACTTCATGTCCTTCCCCTGCTCCTCCCCTCTGGGCAGCTGTCTTCCCTCTCAGTGGAGCCCAGTGGGAGGGGAGGTGGCTCCTGTTTGAATCTGCTAAGCAGGTGGCAGGAGAACAGCAGCTCAGTGCCCAGGGCTTCCTCTAGCCTGACCTTCTCCATCCTGCTTTACAGTGAATTGCTGGGGCTCTTGGAGCTTAGGGATTTTATGGCAGGAGAAGAATGTTGGCAGGGGCACTTTTTTCCTTTCCAAGAGAGATTTTTCCCCCTGCCCACGTTTGGTTTTCTTTTTTTCCATCTGCTGTGGTGGGCTCATGCTTAAGGACTGACGAGTTACAGATGGTGGCTGGGACCAGGCCCCTTCGAGCTCTGCCTCCACGCACCGGGCTAACTGTTTTCTCTCACTCTGTATTGGTGAATGATCAGGACATCTGTGGAAAGTTCCTGGGTTACCCAGAGGTGTTTTTGGAAAGTAGGATCCCTCTGTTTCTCCAGTTTACTATCCAGCAAAAATGACCAGAGAGTGGAAGGAGGTGACAGAGGCAACTCCTGTTTAACTGGTTCTAGCTAAAGCTTCGCCTGGTTCAAGGAATAGAAAGCTTCCAAGATGGAACCCAGATGGACCTGGAGGCCTGGGAGCCACATCTGGAGCCAGATGCTGAGCCTTGTGTTCCATGGCTCGGCATTCTCTCAGGCTCTGATGAGGCCTGGAGGGAGGGAGGATGAACCCCCTTTGCATAGATGGGGAACCAGACTGGATCTGAGAAAGGAAAAGATCGATATTATGCACACTTGTTTGTCCTCATCCACGGTCTTTCTGCGGTTTGACCAATGTCTTTCCCCATAGTTCTGGTGACCAACACCTTTGGGGCCCAAACCTGAGAAGCCTCAGGGACTCATGGACCCCGGGGCTGGGAGCCTGACTGTCTGGGTCCCTGGAGAGAGAGAGGCCTGGCTGAATGGGAGGTGGGTGGAGTCAGGGAGGAGAAGGTTAAAGCCCTGTGTGGGAAGGGGCTGGAGACAAAGGTGCCCCTGTCTCTTTGGGAAGGAATGGGAGGGGAGAGAGGGAAAAGCATTCATCTCGTGGGACCAGCCAACGTACCCTTCGCCCCAGGCACGTTCCTGAACACTGAGTCATGGGAAGGGTGGAGAAGCAGGAAGGGGGTTTTGGGGATCTTGCAGGAAGTGGGAGTCCAGCCCCAGAGGCAGTTGGAGGCAAACAAACCTAAGGCCAAGAACGCCCTCTTCTGGCAGCTTGAAGGATTGTCAAGTCGCCACCGCCTCGGCCTGGAAAAGACCTCTCTCTCCCCCTTGGGGACCCAGCCCTCTCGAGGGACATGGACTCCTGTTAAATGCACTCTTCTTTCACTTCTCTAGCAATACCAAGAAGGAGGGAGACTTGCTGGCTGCCCAAGCGCGACTCAAGGATGTGGAAGCTCTGCTCAACTCCAAGGAGGCCGCGCTGAGCACTGCTCTCAGTGAGAAACGCACACAGGAGGGCGAACTGCATGACCTGCGGGGGCAAGTGGCCAAGGTGAGGGTGCTTCCAGGGTCCCCCATGATCCCACCTGACCCCGGACAAATGCACACTCCCTCTCCCACCCCAGTTACCCTCTGAAGTTACCTGGTCTGACCTATCACCTGGCATCAGAGCTAGTCACCTGTCCTAGTGTCATTTTGCCCTCCTAGACCACATCTCCTCCTTCTTTGATTGCCCATGGCATCCAGCACAGTGGATTTTAAATAATCTACACATCATTTCCACGTAACTTTACAATGAATTGTGCTTGACCCTGTGTCCCCCTGGTTTGGCCCTCTTATAGACAGCTGTCTCCGGGAGACAGGAGAGGAGTGTGGACCTCCACAGAGCCCATAGTTGGGAACTGGCAGTCAGTCACACACAGGATGCTTGTTTGCTTGTTTTTTTTAAGATATATTTATTTATGCATACAAAATCTGAGGTGCAGGCCAGAGGTGTGGGGGCCAGAGACAGAGTGGGGAGCAGATAGGTGAACTGACTGAAATACACTGCTGAGGGGAGCAGCGGGCGAGACAGGAGAGGTCTGCTGCACCATGTGGGTTGCTCCCTGGCCAGGGATCGAACTTGGGCTGTAGTGGCTGCTGGTAGCTTCATAGTGCTGAGACTTAACTCACTGCACCACTAGAGAGGCCCAAGATGCTTGTTCTTAATGCCTGGCATGGAAGCCATGCCTTGCGGTCTTTACTTTGAAAACTCTTTGCTATCTGTTCCAACCTCTGATCTCTCATGTGACAAGCTGGGGGACAGAATCAAAGAAGCTGGCTTGTTCCCAATATCACAGCCTCATCTGCTCAGAGCAGGGTCAGGATAGAGTCAGCAGCCAAGCTTCGGTCCCGGGCTCTCCCCTCCCAAGACCTGCCCGCCATAAGACAGGGCAAGCCATCTACTAAACCATAACAGGGTCTTCTCCTTCTGGGTTTCTGCCTTCAGGCCCACCCTTCCCCCCAGTCTCCTAGCTGCACCCACTAGCCTCTGCTTTCTGAACTGAAAACCTAAGAAAGGTGCCCCCTCTTCAAAGCCCAGAGGATCTTTTTTTTTAAGATTTATTTATTTATGTATACAAGAACGGGGGTACAGGCCAAAGATGCGGGGGTGAGAGGATTCACCAGAGACAGAGTGGGGAACAGAACAGGCAGATGGACTGAAATACACTGCTGAGGGGAGCAGCGGGCGAGACAGGAGAGGTCTGCTGCGTCATGTGGGTAGCTCCCTGGTGGGCCGAGGATCACACTTGTGCTGCAATGGCTGTGGTTAGCCTCACAGGTTGCGTCGTAACCCCTTGCGCCACCAGGGAGGCCCCCCAGAGGATCTTTTTGTGGCAGATGAGATGCAGTCCAGTCACCTCCCATCACTCCCCCAACCCCCGTGCTTTGGGCTTTAGCAGTACTGTCCTCTGCAGGTCCTAAAGAACACGTGTGCCTTCATACCCGCACCTTTGCTCTCTCCCTTCCCTGCCATCACTGCAGAATCCCCCCTTGCAGCGCCCACTAACCTGTCCTTTGGGTCTCAGTCTCTCCGAGACCCCTTGACCATACCGGGCACTTTGGTTCCTTCCCTCACACTCCGGCTATACCTTGTTCTTCCCTCCTTAATAGCAGTTGCTGTGTGGGGCAATTTTTTAGCACAGCCCCTCCCCAGAGTAGTTACCGTGAGGGAGTAGACATTTCCTGTGTTCATCTAAGATTCTGTCCCCTACCCCAGGAACTGTTCTGCACATATAAAGGGATGTATAGGGAACAGCCCACTTCTCAGCTTCCTGCCAGCTCTGATGTTCTGTGACTCCTCCCTAATGTCTGCTCCCTTCTCAGCTCGAGGCAGCCCTGGGTGAGGCCAAGAAGCAACTTCAGGATGAGATGCTGCGGCGGGTGGATGCTGAGAACAGGCTGCAGACCCTGAAGGAGGAGCTGGACTTCCAGAAGAACATTTACAGCGAGGTGGGGATGGTGCTTTGCAGGCGAGGGGGCCGGGGCTGGGGTTGGGAGCTGTGGAGAGCTCACCTACTTGACTTCCTGTACTGGTAACTGGGAAGTGGGGGGTAGCTGCCCCTCACTTCCCAAGTTAAACAGTACCTTATAGTGACTCCACTCAGGATTAGGATCAGGCAGGGAACTTGCCCCCTGGGTCTCAGCCTTCCAAGACTGATCTTGGTTTCTGTGACCAATCCTTCTAGGAGCTGCGTGAGACCAAGCGCCGCCATGAGACCCGGCTGGTGGAGATTGATAATGGGAAGCAGCGTGAGTTTGAGAGCCGGCTGGCGGATGCCCTGCAGGACCTGCGGGCCCAGCATGAGGACCAGGTGGAACAGTACAAGAAGGATCTGGAGAAGACCTATTCTGCCAAGGTGCTGCTCCCTTGCTGTCTCTGTCCCTTTGCAGTCTCTGGGGAGCAGGTGGATGGTGCTGGGGAGCTGAGTGGCCTGCCCAGCAACAGTTTTCTCCCCTCCCTCGCTCCCAGCCCCTGCAGACCTAACTGTGTGTCCTCTGTCCTCCTCTGCAGCTGGATAATGCCCGGCAGTCTGCTGAGAGGAACAGCAATCTGATGGGGGCTGTACATGAGGAGCTGCAGCAGTCCCGCATCCGCATCGACAGCCTCTCGGCTCAACTCAGCCAGCTCCAGAAGCAGGTGATGGCCCCGCGTCCTTTTCCCCATCAGCCAAGAGTCTAGGCAGGATGCGGGGTGGAAGCTGAGAAGGGAAGGGGAGAGGGAGAGAGGGAATACATGTACGGGACCACACGCTGAGCAAGGGGCCTATAGGATTCAGAATCAGATGACTGCTGTTCCAGGACCACCTCTTGTCTTGCTGGTATGACCTTCACTCCTCAGAGACTTGGTTTTTCCATTTGACAAGGGAACTCCTGCTTAGCCTCTTTCACACCCTGTCAGGACACTCAGTATGAGGTGTTAAAAGTATCAATATTGTTCTAGCTGGTTGTGCCATTTCTGACAAAAAGAAATAGGTTTTAGCCTCAGAATGAGATTTCAGGTAAACAGTGGGAAGCCTTCCCATTGCTAGTGTAGACCATTTAAAGCCTGTGATGCGAGGGTAGCTGGGTGTCCCTAGGCTCTTACCTGCGTACCTGATGCTCCATGCTCAGGGCTCTTGAGAGCTCACAAGACCCCATCACCCCCCAGCTGGCAGCCAAAGAAGCAAAGGTGCGGGACCTGGAGGACTCACTGGCCCGCGAGCGAGATACGAGCCGCCGGGTGCTGGCAGAGAAGGAACGGGAGATGGCAGAAATGCGGGCGAGGATGCAGCAGCAGCTGGATGAGTACCAGGAGCTTCTGGACATCAAACTGGCCCTGGACATGGAGATCCACGCCTACCGCAAGCTCCTGGAGGGTGAGGAGGAAAGGTGAGCCGAGGAGGAGCCAGAGAGGGGCCAGTGACCCATCTGGCCTGCACCTGGCCTTGACTAGGCCCCCACTTGTCTCCCTCTCCCCAGGCTGCGCCTGTCCCCCAGCCCCACCTCTCAGCGCAGCCGTGGCCGTGCCTCCTCCCACTCATCCCAGACGCAGGGTGGGGGCAGCGTCACTAAAAAGCGCAGGCTGGAGGCCGCAGAGAGCAGCCGCAGCAGCTTCTCACAGCATGCGCGCACCAGTGGGCGAGTGGCAGTGGAGGAGGTGGATGAGGAGGGCAAGTTCGTGCGGCTGCGCAACAAGTCCAGTGAGGTAGGCTGGGGGGTGAGGGATGTTGCTGCTTAGGCAGAGCTTGCGAGGACGAAGGGGTGAGGCTTGGAGACAGGGATTCCTCACCCAGGCCAACCAGGGCCAGGGTGTGCCTCCTCCACACACGACTTAAATCCTGACACTGGGACTCATCAGTGAGACCCTGGGCAAGTTATTTAACTGCTCAGAGCAGGGGCTTCCTCCTGTAGATAAATCTGCGGTCAGTAAGTTCCTAACTCTTTGGGGGGTGCCGGGCAGGTAAAAGCGGCAAGTGTGCTGGCACAGCTGAAGTGCCCCTGAGTGTAGTTGTTATCCCTGAGCGGGGGGACAGTGAGGGACAGAGGGATGGACAGTGAGGGATGGAGGGAAAGGCTCCTGCTGGTGGCCTGCCTGGGCCCTTGGCGAGAGAGAACACAGGAACCAGGACGTGCCTCCCCCACCTCTCCCCTCCCTTCCCGGCAGGACCAGTCCATGGGCAATTGGCAGATCAAACGCCAGAACGGAGACGAGCCCTTGCTGACCTACCGCTTCCCACCAAAGTTCACCCTGAAGGCTGGACAAGTGGTGACGGTAAGTGGCAGGGTGTGTGTGTGGGGGTGGGGGTGCAGGTTGGCCTGAGGTCGAGAGTGCTTGATGTGAGCACCCTTCTTTAATTCTCCTTGCAGATCTGGGCTGCGGGAGCTGGGGCCACCCATAGCCCCCCTACTGACTTGGTGTGGAAGGCACAGAACACCTGGGGCTGTGGGAACAGCCTGCGCACAGCTCTCATCAACTCCACTGGGGAGGTGAGTATGCGGGCTTCTCGCTGGATGGGCCCTAGTGGCCAAAATAGGAGCTGGCTGCCTCCACCCCAAGAGAACCAACTCAGGGCCACCTTGAGCTCTCCTAGCTCTCTCCACTCAGTAGGCACACACAAGATGCCCCAGCAGCATGAGGGGTAGAGGTTAGAACAGCGAGGATTGTTAAAGGTGTCCTCCTACCCAGAGAACTTGATAGGGTGCCTCTCTGGATTCCTGAACTCTAACAATGCAAAGCAAGCAGCAGGCTGGACAAAGGGCCAGAAGCGTCTGAGAAAGGCTCTTAGGAGGGCACAGTGGGTGGGTACATTGCACACCCTGTCCCCTCCGCCCTGATCCCCTCTCCCTCAGACCTGGTCTCATGTCCCTGGCAGGAGGTGGCCATGCGCAAGCTAGTGCGCTCAGTGACCGTGGTTGAAGATGACGATGATGAGGATGGAGATGACCTGCTCCATCATGTGAGTGGCCGCCGCCGCTGAGGCCAAGCCCCTGCTGGGCCATGCAGCCAAAGCCTGGGGGCAGCCTCTCCCCAGCCTCCCTGTGCCAAAAATCTTTTCATTAAAGAATGTTTTGGAACTTCACTTGCTGCCCTGGCCTTTCTTCTCTCTCCTCCCTATACCTTGAATAGGGAACCCAGGTGTTTGGGTGCCCTACTCTGGTAAGGCAGGGAGTGGGAACTTTCTGACGCCATGGAGTGTTCCATGGGAGCAGTGGATGAGGGTCTGGATTGGTCTCCTGTGAAGGGGGTGGGAGGACAGACGTGGGGCACCCCGCCCTGCCTCTCTCCCCCCATTTCTGTTGCATGCCTTTCTTTTCTCTTCCCTTCCCCATTCCTGTTGCATTCATGTGCATGCATGTCCTCTCATTGCCACCACTTTTCCTGCAAAAACTTTTCTCTCATTCTTGGCTCCCCCGCACTTGGTCCTGCATGCGTGCTGCCCAGCAAGCTTGCTTACCTACTCTCCCTTCCCTCGAGCTCAGAACAAGTAGGACCGAGTCCAAGCCCAGATCCACTTCCCCGGCCCAAGTCTTCCTGATCCTTGTCCCCATTCATGTCTTCCCTCTCCCTCCTCCTAGCCCCTGAGCCCCAGGGGCCTCTATTCCTTGAACATAACCCCCCACCCCCCAGCACCCCTGCATCCAGCTGGTGCCTGGGACCCCAAAGCAGCCAGGAGCCTGGGTGTTGGGCCTGAGCAGTCAGTCCCAGACTCACCGTCCCGCCTGCCTGAGCCTTGTCTCCCTCCCCAGGGCTCTCACTGCAGCAGCTCGGGGGACCCCACTGAATACAACCTGCGCTCCCGCACCGTGCTGTGCGGGACGTGTGGGCAGCCTGCGGACAAGGCTTCCGCCAGCGCAGGAGCCCAGGTGGGCGGATCCATCTCTTCTGGCTCTTCTGCCTCCAGTGTCACCGTTACTCGCTACCAGCGCAATATGGGGGGCAGTGGGGGTAGCAGCTTTGGGGACAGCCTGGTCACCCGCTCCTACCTCCTGGGCAGCTCCAATCCCCGAACCCAGGTGAGTATTCCCTTTACCTCCATACCCCTTAGGCAGAGGGCCCTGGGCATTGGGATTAAGACAAGCAGTCCTGTGGGATGAGGGGAGCCTTCTCTTCCGCAACCCGGGGGAGTAGGAGCCTCCTCCCTGTAGCCCAGCATCCTGGACAGTTCATCCTGCATCCTGCCCCTCCTGTCTGAACCCCAGACTGGAGGGCAGGGACAGGGCTGGGGTAGGGAAAGGGTGGCAGGGGGCCAGATACTGCCACTCAACTCTCCCCTTTTCTCTCCTAGAACCCCCAGAACTGCAGCATCATGTAATCTGGGACCTGCCAGGTGGGGTGGAGGCAGAGGCCTCCTGCTTTCTCCTCACCTTGTGCCCATCCTCTACCCTGTGCCTCATGGAGGGGGCTTAAAGCCAAAGAAAAATGCCCCTTTGGTTTTTTTCTTCTATTTTTTTTCTAAAAAAAATTATTTTCTACAATGATTTTATACTGAAGGGAAAATATGAGCAAAAAAAAAAAAAAAACTTATGTCTCTATCACTCCTTCCTTTTCCCTGCTTCCAGGAAACTCCATATCTGCTTAAAACCAAAGAGGGCTTCCTGCAGAAGCCCAGGGAAAGGGAGGCTTTTACAGAGCCTAATTTCTGCTTATCTGCCCTGCCTACTGCCCCCGCCCCGGGGACCCCGCGACAAGGTGCCTAAGGGGCAGGTGAGGAGTCCCCTCTGCCAGCCCTTGGTCCACTACTGCTGGCTGAGGCTCCTCTGCCTGCCCTCCCCAGCCTCCAGCCCCACCCCAGCCCCGGGGTGACTTGATTTTTCCAGGTACCAGCTGTGCTTGCTTTTGCTATATTTTATTTAGACAAGAGATGGGAATTAGGTGGGAGGTGGAGGAAGGGGAAAAGGTGTTTGAGCCTTGCTTTACCCAGCATTAGAGCTGGGCATGGCTTGGCCCAGTCACTGGAAGTTGAGGTCAAGTAGGTGCAGGGGAGGCAGAGGGAGGCCTACTAGAAAGGGTGAGAGCCTACAAGGGCCCCACCCAGAGGGGACGGGGAGAAAGGTAGGAAGCTGTGTGGCAGTGGTTTTTTGCAAACACTACAGAGCTCCTGCCTCCCCATTTCGCATCTGCACCTCTTCTCTCCTCCCTGTATCAATACACTAGTTGTTTCTATTCATGACTGCTGTGGTCTCTTTATCGCCGGACGTCACCTTGTGTTCTGAGCGACACACACAAGTACACGTTTCACAGCCTTACCCCTGTCCCCAGGAGACAATAAGAAGCCCTCACAGCACCTCAGGTACACACCTGGGCACTCAGTGGTGGCTGACGGGAGAGGCTTTGTCGTAAGTGCTGCCCACCCACTTCTGGCCTCGCTCTTCATGAAAGCCTCTGGGAGAGGGGGAGCTCCAGAAGAAGGGTATTTCTTCCCTAACTCCTTCACCCAGCAGCACTTGTCAAGTGCCTTCTCCATGCTGGGACATGGACTCAGCGTGGACACCAAGTCAGGACGTGGACCCAGTCTGGGGGTCGTGATGTCTCAGGACCTGGGGCCAAGACATGGGGAGGAGGTTCACAGAAGCCATTGAGGGCCGCGGGAAGTGAGTAGGGCGAACTTGGATACAAGCAGCTCTAAGGGTTCCTTTGCGCCACACTCTGTTCTGTGTGTAGACAAGGGGTATGAGCGAGACCACACGCTCAGTGTCCTCAGTGAACTTACACTCCATGGGAATCAGGAAGCATGCAAAGCAGTGTGTCAAAGAGTGGGAGCCTCAGAGGGGGAGCAAGCTTAAACTTGGGCCATGGAGCGAAGACCAAGGGCATGGGCTCCACATAGGGAAGACAGCCCCGTGTACATGCCGCAGCATCTCTGCACTATTACCTTCCCCCTCTTACTGTCTTGAGAGGTAGTTTTGTTTCTGGAAATGGGTTCTCGGAGTCAGCTTGCCAAAGGCCGCATGGCTAGTAGGTGGCAGAGACCTCAAGGAATCTGGCAGCAGACCCCCTGCTCCTCTAACATCCTCTCCCTCTAAACAGAACATGGTAATAGGAAATAAATGCACGTTCCCAGGGATGGAGGAATTAAACCTGAAGTCTAAAGTCAATGAAAAAAAAATTATCTGGGATTATGGGAAAACGGAAGTGGAAAAGCAACATTAATGAGAGGAGGGCAGGCTCTGAAGTCATGCTGGAATTTTCCTCAACCCCATGGGTATCAGGTGCCTCTGAGAAATCGATGCCGAAAGGAAGGGGTTCCTAGGGCCTGAGGTGGGCACCTTGCTCGCGCCTCCCCTGAGCGAAGGCATCCGCGTGCGCTTCCCCGGCCGGGCACCTGGGGGCGTCGGAGCGCCACGTGCGGCGTCTGCGCTCCCGGGGGCGCGTCCTGCGCCGGCCTGAGCCGCACGGCTGAACCCTGCGTGGTGGCGTCACCCCTCAACCTAGGACTGGGGAATACCTGGACGAGTAGGCCGGGTCCCTGCCCCTGAGGGGGAATAAGTACGCCGCAGTGGTTGCGAGGTAGCCACGCGGGAGACCTGGTGGCCCGCGCTCCGCACACGTGGGTTCCTCACACGCTGCACCTAACTCTGCGTTCAGCAGACCTTTGACTGACAAAAGTTGCTGTTGGAATACTCTACTGTAAAAAGAAGAAGGGTATTTGTAAAGAAGAAGGGTAAATGTAAAGGGTAAATGTAAATTTGTAAAGAAGAAGGGTATTTGTAAAGAAGAAGGGTAAATGTAAAGATTGGTGGGGGTTGAGGGGTGGCGGATGGCGGTGGGGGTGGGTGGGGGTGGTGAGATTTCAATTTCCCAGAAGCAGCACAGATGGATTTCTTTCCAGTGGTTTTCCCCCTGAGCGTATACTGGTAATTTGCATAGTTCAGATATCACTGTGGTTTGTTTTCAGTCTTTTCACAGTTAACATGCATAAACATTTCCCAGTGTAAAAGAACAAAAAATGGAAGAACCCCCCCCCAATAAAAAGTCAAACACTTTTAAAATTCGACATCAGACAACTGACAATTCTGTATTTTAACCCTTAGACAGGTCCCTACAAATGAAGCTTTCCTTTGCTTTGCAAATGGACAGAAAGGGTTTGTGAAAAGACTGATTCTTCCTTTTATTCATAATGTGAACATGCTCAATATTTGTCTTTGTCTTTCTCACCTGCTTTGCTACACATACTTCCCTCAGGCTCCTTCCATTTGGCTGTAAATGGTAACGTCACACCGTTCCTTATAGCTGAGTAGTGTTCCCTTGAATACAACATACCCCACAGCTTTATCCACTCTTCTATCAGTGGACACTATGAACACTTTTTAAGTTACATGGATCCTTTTTCTGTCTGTTCATATAAGTAATACTTGACCATTACAGAGAGGATAGAAAAGGAGAGGGAAAATAATCATCCCCTGTACTCCACTATTCAGCCATAACCACATTACCATGGGAGATCTTTGAGCTTTTATTTTTTTTCAACTTTCAAGTATACACATACACTGACAATTTTCTGCTGGCAGTTATAAATAATTATCCCGGAATATACATCTGTGTTTTTATTTCTTTACTTTTTATTTATTTATGCATACAAGAACTGTGTTGTAGGTCAGAGGTGCGGAGGGTGAGAGGATTCACCAGAGACGGTGGGGAGCACAACAGGTGGATCTACTGAAATACACTGCTGAGGGGAGCAGTGGGCAAGACAGGAGAGGTCTGCTGTGCCATGTGGGTCAGCTCCCTGGCTGGGGATTGAGCTTAGTCCTCAGTGGTGAAAGCGTTGTAGCGCTGAGACTTAACCCCTGCGCCACCAGGGAGGCCCTGGAATATACATCTTTGTACACATCTCTGGGCATGTCCATGAAATAAATTCTAAGAAGCCTACTGGTTGACTCAAAGGTATACACGTAATCAGGGCCATTGATAACATTGCCAGAGAAACTGGATTCTTAGTGTCACTTGCAGTAGAGTTCACTTTCCCCAAACTCCTCCAACACCACTGTTTTTATTGATTTTAATCTTTGCCAACTTTTAAACTTTGCCAACTAGGAAAACAATTATAGTTCTTATGTCAAATTGCATTTCTTTGAAGTTGACTTTTTTTTTTTTAAGATTTTATTTATTTATTTATACAAGCACTGGGTACAGTCAGAAGTGCGGGAGGGCAGAACAGGCAGACGGAGAAATACACTGCTGAGGGGAGCAGCAGGCCAGACAGGAGAGGTCTGTCGCACCATGTGGGACCCTTGCCCGGTGGCCAGGGATCGAACCGGCCAGAGGCTGCGGGCAGCTTCGCAGCCCAGTGCTCAACCGCTGCGCCACCAGGGGAGGCCCTGAAGTTGATTTTTTTTCATTCACGTGTGTTGGTTATCTGCGTTTCTTCTGGTGTGACTATTATGTTTCTATTCCTCTTGGGCTTTTAATTGGCAAGATTATCTCTTTCGTGTTGGTTCTTTTTTTTTTTTTTAAGATTTTATTTATTTATTTATGCAAGCACTGGGTACAGTCAGAAGCGTGGGAGGTGTGAGAATTCACCAGAGCCAGAGCAGGGAGAAGAACAGGCAGAAGGACCCAAGTACACTGCTGAGGGGAGCAGCGGGCGGCAGGAGAGGTCTGTGCGCCAGGTGGGACCCTCGCTGGCGGCTTGGAATTGAGCCGGCGCTGCAGAGGCTGCCGGCAGCTTCGCAGCCCAGCGCTCAACCGCTGCGCCACCGGGGAGGCCCTCTTGTTGGTTCTTAAGATTAAGGAAGGGGCCTCCCTAGTGGTGCAGTGGTTGAGCGCTGGGTTGCGAAGCTGCCGGCAGCCTCTGCAGCGCCAGTTCGATCCCGGCTGCTCCCCGGCCACCGGAGCTGCCCGCAGCCTCTGCAACGCCGGTTCCATCCCCGGCTGCTCCCCGGCCACCTGAGGAGGGTCCCACATGGCGCGCAGACCTCTCCTGCCGCCCGCTGCTCCCCTCAGCAGTGTACTTCGGTCCTTCTGCCTGCTCTGCTCCCCGCTCTGGCTCTGGTGAATTCTCTCACTCTCCCACGCTTCTGACTGTACCCAGTGCTTGTATAAATCAAAATAAATAAATAAAGCACAAATGTTTAAAAAAAACAAACAAAAAAAATTAAGGAAGAAAGCTTTCCCTCTTGATTATAGCTATTAAGTTGTGTGTTTTGCAGATATTTTATAAAGCATGTTTATTGCACAAACATACTCTTTTTTTTTTCTTTTTTTTTAGAGGCATGTTTTTATTTATTTGTTTGTTTGTTTGTTTTGTTTATACATGCACTGGGTACAGTCAGAAGCGCGGGAGGGTGAGAGAATTCACCAGCGCCAGAGCGGGGAGCAGAGCAGGCAGAAGGACCAAAGTACACTGCTGAGGGGAGCAGCGGGCGGCAGGAGAGGTCTGCGCGCCATGTGGGACCCTCTTCCGGTGGCCGGGGAGCAGCCGGGGATGGAACCGGCGTTGCAGAGGCTGCGGGCAGCTTCGCAACCCAGCGATCAACTGCTGCGCCACCGGGGAGGCCCACAAACATACTCTTTAATGACTGAATATACACAACACATCATTTAAACAATCCTCTCTGGGGCCTCCCTGGTGGAGCAAGGAGTTTAGCCCCGCACTGTGAAGCAATCCCCAGCCACTGCAGCAGGAGTTTGATCCTCCTGCTGGCTGGCCAGGGAGCAGCCCACATGGCGCAGCAGACCTCTCCTGTTTTGCCCGCTGCTCCCCTCAGCAGTGTATTTAGGTCAGTCTGCCTGTTCTGTTCCCCGCTCTGTCTCTGGTGAATCCTCTCACCCTCCTGCATCTCTGGCTTGTACCCCAGCTCTTGTGTGCATAAATAAATAAATCTTTAAAAAAATAAACAATCTTCTCTGGACATTTAGATAAACTTTCAGTTTTAAAAATGAAGCAGTGGATGCCTTTTCGTTATAAATATTTCAGGAAATTTGTTAGCTGGTATCCTGATGTGTCTGCTGCTGACCGTTTTACTTCAAATTCATGACCCCCACCCCAGTACCACCTCCCTTGCTGCTGCTGCTGCTGCTGCTGCCCTAGCCCTGCTACCCCAGGTGACTGTTTCGTACCCTCTCCTGTCTCTCCAAACTTCCCTCCCTGGATCTTAACTGCTGGCTTGCTTCCTTCTCATTCCCAAGACTGCTAGCCCAGTGGCCACTTCTCACTCCTCTTGTTCCTTTACCAGGTCTGTCACAGGTGTTCACTCTCCTGTCCTTGCTGACTCTTCCTCTTCTCCCTGACCTCTGACCCTGAGGGGTCCCTGCGCTCATTTCTCTTCACTGGGTCTCTAAGGGTCTATACAGGGGCCCTCAGAGACTTCCTCCATGCTCCTGGCCTCACTCCAAAGGTGCAATTTACACCTTCAGTTCATTGCCCTGAGTTCCAGACTGGGAATGCCCACTTGGGAGTCTAATGGCATCTCAGCTAACAGTGACAGTTAACTTTATAACTCAAAGTTAGCAGATATCAACTAATATCCTGACTTCTCCCCATCTCCCCCAATATGCTCTGCCTGTAATCTTCTCTATCCTTCCTTCCCAGTTGCCCAGCCCTAGTACCCTGGAGTTCTTCCTTGGCTTCTTGTCCACTCATACTCCACTAGCAAATTAGCAAATCCTGTCAGGGCCATTAGCAAATCCTGTCAGCTCCATCTTTTAAATATATCTGGAGCTGGTCTGATCACTCGTCTGGATTATGGCATTATTTCCTAACGGTCCCCTCCCCTTGCTCCATACATTTCATCCTCCACAAAGCAGCAGAGTAATCCTTTGACAGTTTGGCAACTCCTCTGCCTTCCCAAAACACTCATTGCAAAAGTCAAAGTTCTAACAATGGCGCACAAAGCCAGGCATGACAACCCTCCACCTCATTTCTCACCATTCGACCTCATGTTCACTCCATGAGAGCAGCTGTGGTCACCTCAGTGTTCCCAGAAGAGCACACACTTGCTACAGGACATTTGCACTAGTGGTTCCCGCTGCCTGGGCCTCTTTCCTGTCAAATAGCTTCATGCTGGTTCCCTCATGTTCTTCAAGTCTTTATTTACATGTCACACTACCCGGTAAAACCTTCCTTTACCAAGTTTTATAAAAGAATATCCTCCTCCCTCTCCTGAGCCCTGTCACTGCCAAGCCACTCTCCTACTTTATTTATTTTTTAAATATTTATTTATTTATTTATACAAGAACCAGGGTACAGGCCAGATTCATGGGAGGGTAAAAGGATTCACTAGAG